CGTTCTCGCCGCCCCGGGGTCCGGGCTCTGGAGCTCCCACCCCCTCCTTCGACGCGGCCCCCAAACTTTCTTTGTACAGCCGGGCCCATAGCCCCCTTTTGATGCTACTGGAATAATTTAAATTAAAAAAAAATCATTTTTCTTCCTGGAGAAGGCTCACCCACAGGATAACTCAGTGTTGTGCAGTTTGACAATTTAGCTCGCAGTATTTTGTTCAATAATTAATGCCCTTCAGTTCTGCTGCTTTGATGCAAGGGCAGGCCCTCCCCGCCGCCGACGAGGAAGCTCGTGTCCATTGTAATTGACCATTTGGTCTGTAATTGACCATTCGGTCTGTCCGTGTGCCGAGTTCAGGATGGTATATTTAGAGTTTTGGCCCAGCCGGGTTGCATTTTTTAAAAAAATTCCCCTTTAACCAGCTTTATTTATTATTATTTTTTAATTGAGGCTTTCCTTACTTTCGAAGAGTTAAAATGTTTGGAGTGTTGTTGTTTTTTAATTGGCTCTATTTCTGATTGGTCAAACCCCAGGGCAATCTTCATAGTACATGTTTACAAGGCCAGTGATGATGGGATGGTGACTGGGAAGTGTGTGACTGTGAAAACTGAAGCTTTTGATGGACATTCAGGTTGACTTTATGGGGAGTTCTAATTGGAAGAGTACTTGAGAGCCTTGGTCATTTCTAAGCATTTATGATAGAACAGGAAGGATAATGGGATTTGTGTGTTTGACTGTATTCATATTGTAGTCAGAGTCCCGCTTTCCTACCAGGAGGTATTACTTGATGGTTCATTGTGATCATCATTGTTCATAATAGGTTCGGGTAAAAAAATATCAATATGTGCAAATTTGGGGTCGTTGATAGTTGTGGTTTTGGAGATTACATGTTTGCAATTTAATGTGATTTGGCTATTTTTAAATTGTGCTCTGGAAACTTCAGAATTATTACATCACCAGGACAGACATTGTAGTCTGAGGATCACTTTTAAAAGAAATGAAATGTATTTGAATGGTTTTCTTTATAAAGAATGTATCACAACGGAACTATAAAGACTGTCCATGTTCTCTTGTTGTTGACCATGTTAATATATTTTATATTGTTACTTTAGCCTTTAGCTTTCTGAAGTGTTTTTTATTGCTTTCAAATCATCCAAAGTTTACTAGGAAAAGATTAATTTGCATATATTGACTTTCTAGAAAAGTTAAAATTTATTTCTGAATAGGTATTATGTTTTTAATAATTTCAGAATTAAAATAAAATCTTATAACTCATGAAATGGCCAAATGTGCAGAATTTGTCCTTAATCACATTTTTCTATCAATAAAAATTGATAAACTAATTTTTCCTGCTTTTATAAAGTTGTACAACTACCACCATAATCAATCCTAGAACATTTCATCACTCCAAAAAGAAAACTGCTCATCATTAGCAGTTACTCCCCATTCTCCCCACTCCACCCCAGACCTTAGCAACTACTGATCTACTTTTCATCTCAATATTTGCCTCTGTGGTTCATTCATATAAATGGTATCAGCTCATAGCTTGAGAAGTTTTTGTTTTAAAATTCACATGTTAAAAATATTTGAGTCAGAATAAGCAACTGGTCACTGGTATTAAGAGATGCTTTAAACAACTGACATATTTTTTGGTTATATTCAGCATAGATTAATATACGTGTGGAGAAAGAAAAAAGCATGAATGGCTTCAGTGATCGTAAGAGGCTGTCTGTCAGCTGGGAGTCAATAAGTAAAAGCTGAAAGAATATTTTTGTCAATAAGTAAAACCTGAGAGTATTAGGATATTAAGGTAGGAAAAATACCTTAAAGGTCATCAGCTTATTTCCTGCTTGCTTCACAAATAGATGGCAAGAAATCTGAAGAGTGGAAGCTTGAATCTCTGGGATGCATGGCTCAAGAACCACAATGTGGTCATGAAGGGCAAGAAATAGGGATTTGTAAGTTAGAATTGTTTAGGTTCTCTTGTATATGTATGCATTCATGCATGCGTGTATGTACTGTATTTGACATTTTTCTAGCAGAGGAGGGAGAGAACTGGACGTTTTACTAGCAGAGGGAGGACTAATGTATACACATATGTGAAATCCATGTTACAAAATCCTCTAAAAATGCTTTAATCTAAAGAGGCTGGCATATATATTATTTAAGTATCTTCTTGAACCATTACCATCTTATTTTTAAAAATCCAAATTTTAAAAATGAAATTGTAATTAACAGGGCTGGTTGGAGACCTCCTTTTTTAAAGACCCAGGGCCCTAACATCTAAACCAGTGGTTCTCAAGCAGGAGTGATTTTGCCTCCAAGGGACATCTGGCAGTGTCTGGAAACATTTTTTATTATCACAATTGAAGGTGGGGTGCTGTTGGCATCCAGCCAAGAAATGTTGATAAGCATCCTACATTGAACAGGACATATCTTACCGTAGCCACGCAACAAAGAATTATCTGACCCAAAATGGCAGTAGTATTGTTCTAAACCAGCCGTGGGCAAACTACGGCCCGCGGGCAGGATTCGGCCGTTTGAAATGAATAAAACTAAAAAAAAAAAAAAAAGACCGTACCCTTTTATGTAATGATGTTTACTTTGAATTTATATTAGTTCACACAAACACTCCATCCATGCTTTTGTTCCGGCCCTCCGGTCCAGTTTAAGAACCCATTGTGGCTCTCGAGTCAAAAAGTTTGCCCACCCCTGTATCTAAACCATGGTTTGCATGATTTTGGTAAGGGCCTGAGCAGGTGGTAAAATACTCTGTGGACACTGATTGGTGGATCAGATTAACCCTTTAGGTTCTCTAGCAACTTTCTTTGTAGGGGGAGGCAGTTGAGAGAAAAGTAAAAGGAAATCTATGACTCAACACAGATATTCTTTTTTATTTTTTATTTATTTTTTTACAGAGAGGAAGGGAGAGAGATAGAGAGTTAGAAACATCGATGAGAGAGAAACATCGATCAGCTGCCTCCTGCAACCAAGGTATATGCCCTTGACTGGAATCGAACCTGGGACCCTTGAGTCCGCAGGCCAATGCTCTATCCACTGAGCCAAACCGGTCAGGGCCAGATATTCTTTTTTAAAAAAATTAAATCTTTATTGTTGAAAGTATTACATATGTCCCCCATTTTCCTCCATTGACCCCTTTTAGCACACCCCATCCCCTGCCCCATATTGTCTGTTATGCATATATGCATACAAGTTCTTTGGTTGAGCTCTTTCCACCCACCTGATCTCACCCATGCACCTCCGCCTTCCCTCTGAGATTCCACAGTCTATCTCATGCTTCTACTAGTATGTCTCTGGATTTATTTTGTTCATTAGATTCCACATATAAGTGAGATCATGTGATATTTGTCTTTCTCTGAATGAAGGTATTCTTTAGTTTGTTTTGTCTTCAAACCTGAAGAAAAATTTATTTATTTATTTATTTATTGAATGTATTGGGGTGACATTGGTTAATAAAATTATATAGCTTTCAGGTGTACAATTCTATAATACATCACCTATATATTATACTGTGTATTCACCACCCCAAGTCAAGTCTCCTTCCATCACCATTTATCCCCGCTATACCCTCTTCTACCTCCTCTGTGAAGAAAAAAAATGTTTCCCTGGAAATGGCAGCTTTATTTTACTATAAATTTGAACTACTATTATGTTTTGAATTGTTGGTTACTGGAGCATAGGTTTTTTTGAAATTGGAAATAAACACAGTATAGTAGTAGTTTATCTAGAAGTTCTTTTTTTTTCATGGTAGCATCAACTGCCAAAGAAAAGAGAAGTAGGCTGTTTTAAAATTAATGTCCAAAATGTTTCAAAGCTTATAGATGAATGTCATCTTTTTTTCTTATAGGCCCCAGTTTTGGCTCTTTAATTTGTTTTTAACAGCTCAATTTGGTGGTGAAAGAAGAAAAGATTGACAGTGGGATCACTTTTGCTCTGTACCTGCTTTATGACCTTAGGTGAATTATTCAATCTTTCTGAGCCTCAATTTTCTCATCTATAAAATAGGAATAATGATAATTACTCCATTATAAGGTTCTTGTGAGAATTAAGTGAGGTAATAAGTGTTAAGGTGCTATGTCAACTATAAAACACCTGTGTGTAACAGTTAGTTACTATACCTGAAACTATTGTTATATCAATTACTAGAGGCCTGGTGCATGAAAATTCATGCACTGAGGAGGGGTCCCTCAGCCCGGCCTGCCCCCTCTCACAGTCCGGGAGCCCTCAGAGGCGGGAGGCAACCGGGTGATCAGGGGAAGGCGACGCCCCATCACACCTCTGCTGCTGCCACTGCCAGCAGCACAAGCCTTGGCCGGCCCTACTTACCTGTGCCTCGGGTGGCCCTGGGCAGCTGGGGGGCTGAAGGGACTGGGGGACTCCGGAGGCAGGCGTGCAGAGCGGCCGGGCCTGTCTGGGGGTGGGCCCGGCCTTGCTGCGGGCCTGCCATCCCAGCAGGGCTGAGGGGACTGGGCGGCGCCATCTTGTGGCTGTGGGCACTGCCATCTCTGAGAGCGTGGCAGTCAATTAGCATATTCCCTCCTTATTGGCTGTGAGTACTGCCATCTTTGAGGGTTTGGCAATCAATTAGCATATTCCCTTCTTATTGGCTGTGGGCACCACCATCTTTGAGGGCGTGGCAGTCAATTAGCATATTCCCTCCTTATTGGCTTTGGGTGCTGCCATCTTTGCAGCCTGCTGCTCAGTCGTTTGGCCGTCCCTCACTAACCCCCCTGCCTGCCTGGTTGCCCCACACAGCCTGTTTGGTCATCTGTTCAGTTGTGATGGTCGCTTAGGCTTTTATATATATAGATAGATACCTCAATTTAAAAAAGTTAGTTACTTGTTTCAGAAGAATCAAAATAGAAGGGGATAGAGAAGGTGCCAAAGGCAGGAATAATATAGATAGCAAGGCAGAGAACAGTGACTGCTAACAGCCTCTCTAGAGAGAAGAGAGAAATTCTAAAAATATATTGATAATAAACTAGCAAAAGAACTAGTATTATTACCATAATTAGAAGCTCTTTAATATAAGGACAAACTGATTTCCTTTAGTAGCACCTGAGAGTATCACTGTTATAAAAGAGTATAAAACTGATTGTTATAATGGTGAAATTAAGTTATCAAGAAAAGATTACCTTGTTTTCAAAATATGCTATTTGAAAACATAATTTCAGAATTAAATTTTGCAGAAGTTACTTATTTGTACAAAAATATTTTAGCCTTTTTTTGAGAGTAAGCTACAGTTATCTGGATTAATTCCCTTGTTGGGAATAATTCTTTCTGTCTTCATTTGCTATTCATGCCTTCCTTTAGGTCTGAAGGTTTTTTTTTTCTACCACTGATAAGTGCTCTTCACATGTGAAGATTTGCCTGAACAAAGGTTTTAAACCTACCCACTATTTGTAAAATCTATCTTTTTAGATTTGTTTCCTTTTCTGTTATTTTCCAACATCTTTTTACACACAAAAAAAATGCCTTTATTTTTCAACATGTCCAGTGGTCCATAGTTTGTTCTGTAGCATTTAAAATTGAATTAACTAAAATACATGAAATGAATGGGGGGAAATCTAATCTCTTACAATTTTGTTAACCGGGTAACTCTCCTTCACAGTCATACAAAAAGTAAGACTGCAGGTAAGCAGAGCTGGAGCTTTTCAGTGATATTTTTCTGAGGTAGCATGAGGGTAGAATAGTTTGAGACAGTATTCAGAATAAGTCAAGTGGTGAACTTAATATATGGTGTACTTGCCTTGGCCAATGTGGCTCAGTTGGTTGGAGTGTCTTCTATCTTGTGTACTGGAAGGTCTTGGGTTTGATTCCTGGTCAGCTCACATACCTAGATTGCCTGTTTGATCCCCGTTGGGGCACCTGCCGCAGACAAGCAAACCATGGTTTTTTTTCTCTATCTCTATCTCTATGTCTACCTCTATCTCTATCTCTTTCTCTCCCCCCCCCCCCCCCCCCCCCCCCCCCTCTCCCCTCCCTTTCCCTCTCCCCCTCTCTCTCCTTCTCTTTCTCCCTCTCTAAAATAAATAAAAATAAATTTAAAAAAATATGGCGGACTTAAAAAATTGGATTATAGAAAGTGGGAATTTTTCAGGGGGAAAAAAATGCCACCAATTTGGAGAATTTTATGTTCAAATAGTTGGCTTTTTGACTGAAAGGAAGTTCAGAGAGTGGGTGTTTGTATATGAATATTGTAATGATGCATCATATTTTATGAGTTTTTTCCTGTGGAGTATATAAAGTAAAATTTAGAAATCAAAATAATTATGTCAAGAAAGTTGATGCCCTGGTTTGTTTGTGTGTTTTTTCTTTCAAGTTGGCTAACCTGAAGGGTAGATTGGGCTCAGTTTGTGAAGATTTTAGACTTGATAGACTTGATATATACCACTGTCAAAGAATACTTAGAGAGAGTGATCTAATCAGATCTGAATTTTAGAAAGATGATTCTGAAGTTGAGATTAGGAACAGAGAAAGACTTTTGGTAGGAGACTCTCACAGTAGTCTAATCCGCAAATAAAACTGTGAACTAGAGCAGTGGCAGTTGGAATGGAGAGCAAGTCATGAATTTGTAATGAATTTTGGAAGTAGAATCCAAAGGACAGTCCAAGTTGGTATAGAAATTAAAGAATGTAAAGAGGTTAGAGAGAGTCAAGAGGCTCTACAGCAGTGGTTCTCAACCTTCCTAATGCCACGACCCTTTAATTCAGTTCCTCATGTTGTGGTGACCCCCAACCATAAAATTATTTTCGTTGCTACTTCATAACTGTAATTTTGCTACTGTTATGAATCGTAATGTAAATATCTGATATGCAGGATGTATTTTCATTGTTACAAATTGAACATAATTAAAGCATAGTGATTAATCACAAAAACAATATGTAATTATATATGTGTTTTCCGATGGTCTTAGGCGACCCCCGTGAAAGGGTCATTTGACCTCCAAAGGGGTCGCGACCCACAGGTTGAGAACCGCTGCTCTACAGTTTCCAGCTTGGTAAACTGCATAATTGGTGTTGCCATTAACTAGCTAGAGAAGGAATAAATTATTGGCAGGTGGAAGAGAGGAGTAAAGATGGTAGATGAGTTTAAGTTTTGGATGTATTGAATTTTGGGTATCTGTGAGACTTGTAAGGGAAGATGCCCAGTAGGCAGTTATAAATTTGGGTGTGAGATACTGAAAAGAAGTTAGAACTGCAGAATGATCTGGAATCTATCTAGTTTTCTCCATCTTTTCTACCATTATCTGAGATTAGGCTACACTCATCTCTCAACTAGATTATTGCATGTTTACTATCTGGTCTCTTTTAGTCTTAGATTTCTCTAATACTAGTACATACATTCTCTGTGCTATAATCAGGGATCTTTCTAAAGGGCAACTAAATTATTTCTGTGACTTTTATTCTTAAGATGAAATCCATATTCCTTATTATTTCTAACAAATTTATAAATTCATTTATTTTCTCAACTTATCTCTCCAGTTTAATGACTCTCCATAACTACCTCCTTCCCCCAAGTATATAACTTTCTCAGAAATACTGACTTACTTGTAGTTTCTGGCAATAGGCTCTCTCTTCCCTCCAAGCCTTTGCACATAGTTTCCTGTTCCTGGAATGTTTTCCTTGTCATGCTCTTCCTCCCTTTCATTGTCTGTCACATTTCTACTTATCTTCAGTTCTTGGTAAACTTTCATTGGTTTATTATTATTCAAAAATTTTAAACCCACAGAAAGGTCAAAAGGATAGTAGAAGACCTCCACACACACATTTTCCTTTTGTCAAATCTGAAAACAGAATGTAGATATCATGATGCTTCACCCCTAAATATGTAAGTATGCATCTCCCTATTACTGGGACATTGTCTTACACAACCACAATACCATATGACATCTAAAAATAACAGTTGCTCAACAACATTATTTAACATTGCGTCCATACTTAGAATTTTCTCATTTGTCTCAAAATTCTTTATAGCACCCCCCTACCCCCAATACAAGATTCAGTCAAGGTTCACACATTTGGTTGTTATGTCTCTTTAGTCTCCCTCAATCTGGATTAGTCCCACTGCCTCCCTCTTTTCCTTGTGTTCTCTTTTGAAAAGTAAAGGCATTTGTCCTCAAGTATATTCCATATTCTGAATTAATCTTTTTCTTCATGATTAGATATTTCTGGCGGGAATAGCACAAAGGCCTGGCCGGCATGGCTCAGTGGTTGAGTGTCAACCTATGAACCAGGAGGTCACGGGTTCGATTCCCAGTCAGGGCACATGCCCTGGTTGCAAGCTCCATCCCCAGTGTGCGGCATGCAGGAGGCAGACGATCAATGATTCTCTCTCATCATTGATGTTTCCATCTCTCTCTCCCTCTCCCTTCCTCTCTGAAATAAAAAAAAGAAAAAAAATTGGGGAAAAAAAGAATACCACAAAGATCATATGTATACTTACCATTTTATCACTTCAAGAAGCACATAACATAAGCCTATCCCCCTGTTGGTGATTCAAGCTTGATCACTTGGTAAAGGTGGGAACTGGTAGATCTCTTGACTGTTTATTTAAATAATTCATAGGATGATATTTTTAGACATGTAAATATCCTGTTCCTAATAACCCTTTAAACCAGTGGATTTAGCGTCCATTAATGATCCTTGCTTGAATCACTCATTGTATTGGATGATTAAACATGGTAACTTTCTAATTCTTTCATTCCATCTACATTTATTATTTTCATTGACTTTTGAAGGCAGTGAGATCAGGTTAAGTGAAGACTGAATATAAGCAATTGAATTTAAAAATCAGGCCATTCTTTACGTTTTCCAGAGCCAAGTGAGTGCTGGAAATGGAAGACATTGCTAAGGAGGTAGACTAAAGAGACTAGAAGTTTACCAATGAAGAGGAGGTAAGAAGTAGCTTGAGGAGATAGAGTTGAGAGAAAGAACTTAAATTTAGTGCTTGAACTTTTTTTGATGGGCCAATGAGATTAAATTAGTGTGAGGGAATAATAGAATAAATTGTATGAATTGGGAAGAAGTGAGATTAAGAACAGCTGGTTGGGGAATTAACACTGGAAAAGAGTAGACATCTGTGCTATACCTCAGAAAGTTAGGAGTTGTGTAAAAGTGAGAATTAGACATGTTTGGATATGAAGGGGAGAAGTCAGATGTAAGGACTTTTTTAGGGGGGAGGGTAGGAAGTAAAAAGCTTACTTTTTAAGCATGGAATTGATGAAGGAAAGCTAGGGGACATGAGAGTGCTGAAAGTTTATTATAAATACTCTGGGAACTGGGAACAAGAAGGGTTTCACAGTAAGTGAAAAGATGCTGAGCAGGGCTTCATCTGAGATTGGAACTTACAAATTTATAATTTGCATGTTTTACATAGTTTTTCTCTGGCAGTGTTCTGCAGCCAGGAGCAAAGAAAAAAGGTTATATTGAAGATGGATGAGGGGAGGAGATAACTGAAGATATAAGGGAGACTGTTGGGATATAATTGACCATGGGATCTAAGCTAAGTAGGGAAGCTAGTAAGGCTGAACTGGGCTAAGAGACCCAAATAATGCAGAGGAGTGTAGAGGTGATGTCATGAGTAATATAGTCATCAATGACACAAAGGAATAAAATAAAGCATCCAAGTTTATATTTGGTTTTCATTGAATTTTTTTCATGCTAGTGACTGATTTTTATCGTAGTACAGTTTTGTCAGTCCTAGGCCTGTGGACTCTTAATTTCAGTGGCTGCTCTATCATGTTACTTTAGTACAGTGGTTCTCAACCTTGGCTGCACATTAGAATCACCTGGGAAGATTCTAATGTGCAGCCAAGGTTGAGAACCACTGCTTTAGTATATTAAGTCTGATAAGTGCCTGGGAAAAAAGACATTGCTTTTATTTTGAATAGTATCTAGATTCCAAATGTGTACGTATTTATTGTTTTTGAGGATATTTTTGAAAATTTATTCCTGATAAAGATATCACACATGAAATACCACTTATTTATTTATTTATTTTTATTTTTATTTAAAAATATGTTTTATTGGTTTTTTATGGAGAGGATGGGAGAGGGTTAGAGAGTTGGAAACATCGATCAGCTGCCTCCTGCACGCCCCCTACTGGGGATGTGCCTGCAACCAAGGTACATGCCCTTGACTGGAATCGAACCTGGGACCCTTCAATCCACAGGCCGACGCTCTATCCACTGAGCCAAACCAGTCAGGGCAAAATGCCACTTATTTATAGCCATTTAAAATGTTTAAATTTAATATTACAAAGTTATATTTTTTATCCTTCTAGCCAAGATTATCTCTTATTATTTAATCTTGTCACTAAATTAAACATAAATACAGAACTTCAGGAAATATGTAGTCAGAATTAACTGCAAAGCACAGGGTATCATAAATGTCAAGTGAGAGTATAAAGAAAAACCAAGTAGATTAGTACAACTTTGTTCTTATTTTCTGGGTTTCTTTAGTTTCTTCCATACTCTTTAATGTCTAAGATGAGTAGACAGGTACTTATTTATGACAGCCTTAATTTGTTAGTATTTTTGAAAGCCCAGATATTTATGCTTAAATGCCCCCTACTGGGGATGTGCCTGCAACCAAGGTACATGCCCTTGACTGGAATCGAACCTGGGACCCTTCAATCCACAGGCCGACGCTCTATCCACTGAGCCAAACCAGTCAGGGCAAAATGCCACTTATTTATAGCCATTTAAAATGTTTAAATTTAATATTACAAAGTTATATTTTTTATCCTTCTAGCCAAGATTATCTCTTATTATTTAATCTTGTCACTAAATTAAACATAAATACAGAACTTCAGGAAATATGTAGTCAGAATTAACTGCAAAGCACAGGGTATCATAAATGTCAAGTGAGAGTATAAAGAAAAACCAAGTAGATTAGTACAACTTTGTTCTTATTTTCTGGGTTTCTTTAGTTTCTTCCATACTCTTTAATGTCTAAGATGAGTAGACAGGTACTTATTTATGACAGCCTTAATTTGTTAGTATTTTTGAAAGCCCAGATATTTATGCTTAAATTTTAGCTTCATTATTTGAGATTGTCAGCAATAATGTATATGACACATAATTTTTAAAAATTTAAGTACTTTTAAAAATAGTGATTAAACTAGATTTTGTCAGGTGACAAATCTTATAACTAATAGTATATGAGTTTATTGTTGTGTGTATGCTGTAAAAGAAGCTTAATTATACCACTTTTTGGAAATTGACTCTTAAAATTCCAAAAGTATTGTGGGAAGGACTTTTTAAAATATGAGACATTTGAGATATTTTAAATTTCTGTGATTAAAAATAACAACCTCTACTGATTTCTGTTAAGTCAGTCTTTGGTAGGACATTACAGTATGGTTCTTTTTTTTTCTTGACTATATCAGTACTTCTAAATTTTGGGAAATCAAGTTTGCCATTTTTTTGTTTGCTTTTAAGAAAAATAGCATTGAGTATTGAATTTTTCTTTTTTACTAAATTTAAATTCATTGTATAAAAAATTGCTACCTCCATCCAGCTCCAGTGTAAAAATATTTCCCACTTTATGCATATTTTCTCAAATTACAAATAGATGTTATAAAAGTTCATTAGTAAGTTATTTATTTATAATTTGGAACACATTTCCTGTTGAAAGTGTTAAAATGATGGCCCCTGGCAGCATATTTATTCCACATTGCAGCTCAAGATTTATCCCTTTGCTAAGAAAATATATTAAATGATACTGATGAAAATGTATAGTGTCTCTTTACTTGAAGAATGTTTTTCTAGCAGTCCCAGTTTTATAAAATTCTTTGTAACTAAAAAAATAAAGTATTAAAAAATTGGTATCACAATCAGATGCTAATTATCGCTACCTTTATTTTTAACATAAGATGGACATAAATGATAATTATTTATTACTGTAATTGATCTGATAAGGAGAAAAAGAAGAAAGAATTGAAATGTATGGGAGGCAGTAGTGAAATAACTGTTTGTTTGGGGTTTTTTTTGAGAGGCAGTGTAATGTAGAGACAGAGGCATGAAAATAAAATCGGAAGATCTGGTCCTTGCTGGTTTGGCTTAGTGCAGCGTTTCTCAACCTGTGGGTCGCGACCCCTTTGGGGGTCGAACGACCCTTTCACAGGGGTCGCCTAAATACATCCTGCATATCAGATATTTACATTACGATTCATAACAGTAGCAAAATTACAGTTATGAAGTAGCAACGAAAATAATTTTATGGTTGGGGGTCACCACAACATGAGGAACTGTATTAAAGGGTCGCGGCATTAGGAAGGTTGAGAACCACTGGCTTAGTGGATGGAGCGACTGAAGGGTCCTAGGTTTGATTCTGGTCAAGGGCATGTACTTCGGTTGCAGGTATGTTCCCTGGCCCTGGTCGGGGTGTGTGTAGGAGGCAACCAATCCATGTGTCTCTCTCACATTGATGTTTCTCTCTGTCTCCCTCTCTCCCTCCACTCTCTAAAAATCAATGAAAAAATATCCTCAGGTGAGGATTAACCAAAAAAAAAAAATATATATATATATATCAAAAGATCTGAATGCAACTACCATCTTCACAGTTAACTAGTTAAATGATCTTTTTAAAAATATATTTTTTGCCAGAACCGGTTTGGCTCAGTGGATAGAGCGTCGGCCTGCGGACTCAAGGGTCCCAGGTTCAATTCCGGTCAAGGGCATGTACCTTGGTTGCGGGCACATCCCCAGTGGGGGGCGTGCAGGAGGCAGCTGATCAATGTTTCTCATCAATGTTTCTGGCTCTCTATTCCTCTCTGTAGAAAAATCAATAAAATATATAAAAAAAAATATGTATATATTTTTATTGATTTCAGAGAGGAAGGGAGAGGAAGAGATAGAAAAATCAATAATGAGAGGGAATCATTGATCGGCTCTCTCCTACATACCACCTACTGGGGATCGAGCCTGAAACCCAGTTATGTGCCCTGACAGGGAATTGAATTGTGATCTCCGGATTCATAGGTCGATGCTCAACCACTGAGCCACACCAGCTGGGCTTAAATGGTCTTGAAACCGATTACTCTTGAACCTGTATATTTATCCACACAATGAGGATCATAGATTCATTCATTCACTATTCATTTAGAAATATGTTTCTTGCTATGTTGTTAGAAGACCAACAAAATAATTTGAATAAAAGCAAGCAATTATGAACTGTATAGTATTTAGTCAAATTAGTGATGATGTATTAGTAATTTTTCTTACTATCTTAACATTGGTTCCCTTTCTCCTGCCGCCTTTACTTCTTTAATTGATAACATATTTTCAATGCATTCTTTGATCTTAGGACAGCACAGAAACTTTAGAACTAGTAGTGGGAGTGAGGCAATCCAGGTTTGTTCAAATTCCAGCTGATTCCCCCCACTCCCTTAAGGGCAATTAGGCGGGGGGGGGGGGGGAAGGGGGGGAGGGAACTTTTCTGGATTAGCTTGTTCATTTTCTCTCTGTTGCCTTGACAAAGTCCTGTCTTTCTTGAGGTGGGGCATAGCCTAAAGTGCCTCATAGTTGCTGGGTGTGTGATTAGTCTCTTTCTCTCTGCCTCCATCCCTCCCCCCAATCCCACCCCTTCCCATGTGTATCTAACTTTTCCACTTCCTCATCTCCTTTCTCCACCTCTTTTCTTTGTTCCTTTTTAATCTCATACTTTGGTTGGTTTCTTGCTGTTTGCCTACAAATATGCTCAGGTTTCCCATGGCCTAAAATATTCTTGCTCAACTGTTAGTCTCTTTTCTTTCACCATCAAAGAGATGTTGATCTTGTTGCCTTTATTACTTCATCTCTTACTTAACCTCTTGTGGAATGGCTTCTGTCCCAACCACTGTCCTAAATTTGTTCTAATCCAGTATCCTTTTTTGAAGTTAGTAATTTCCTTG